GCTGCTTTCAAATATCTTCAATTTGATGGAAAATAATGACTTGAGCATTACTTGTCAATCTTCTGCAGTTGCATATTATTATTTTTTCTCAAGTCAAGTGCGACGGAGTATTGTTTATGGAGATCAACCAAGGAATAGGTATGTGAATATGTGACACAAGTGCTTACAAAGCTAGGCCCACAACCATGTATTCTGTTGGTAGAATGTTGTACTCTTCATTCCGTGACAGGGGATCAACCTGGCACATCAAATGACAAGTAGTTGTATTCTATGACTTGCTTGTCACCTGTCATAGATTAATGCTGCTCTTTTCTCTTTTGATGATGATGTGACAGATTGGATCTATACTTGCCAACAAATATTAGTGGTCCAAAGTCAGTTGTGGTATTTGTGACAGGTGGAGCCTGGATAATTGGGTGAGTGACATGATATTTCTCCATGGTGTATCAGTTACTTTTAAATGTACAAATGTGGATTAAATATGAAATACATAATATAGCCTTAAAATTCCTTCATATTTCATAAGGGGGTTCTGCATCGGTTTGTTTATTCTTGTAGTTGTCTGTTCATGTGGGCCGTGCTAAGGAATTAGATAAACATAGATTGAAATGTATTCTATGAGGTCTCTATAAGCCCAAAGAAAATTTATGGTTTAAATTGCTCATTCAATGGATTTGAATGATCATTGTATCAACCTCTTTCATATCTAGCTGACCATTAAACATTTATTGGAAGTATATATCCTCATTTTTTTTATAGGAATTGAAGGTCTCGTTAAAAATCCTCTTCTTGATTAAAGGAGCTTATAGAGAAGCTCCTTAATCAGCGGAAGGAGGAAAAGAGTACCTTAAAATTTTATTAAACATAAGATCGAAAACAACCGTAAACAACAACACTAACTCAGCCTAATCCACCTTCACTACTACAACAACCCCTAATAAGACTGATCAGACTAAAAGCCTGAACATGGCCCGAAAGACACCACAAAACAAAACAACTGTAAAAAAGCCAAATAAATCAGCTAACTCAATCCTTAGAAGCCAAATTCTAACACAAGCCATGAGCTTCCACATGATAAGAGTGCTGAGAAGCAAGCTTCACAACCACTCGATCCGCCTTTCTGCTACTTAATGCTCGACTTGTCGACGGAGACCAACCGAACCTCTAACTCCAAAATCAATGATCATAAGCAAGTCTTCTTCCAAAACTTCCTCAGCTGAAAGTTTCCGAAATCAGATACACTACTGAGCCGTCAGACTCTATACCCAGATCTTTCACGATCTGAAAGTATTCTGACGCTTCCTCATTCTGACTCTGCCCCAATGCTGAAAGTCAGAATCATAATGAAATCTGCCATTAAGATCAGACAAAACATCCTCGCATTGCACCTTCTGATTATACTTGCTTCGGCAGTAGCTAGACTTCTTTTTGGGAGCCGAATAATTCCCTTGAAAAGTTTCTGAACTCTTCTTTTGTTTTAGGTACAAGGCTTGGGGATCACTTCTAGGACTGCAATTGGCGGAAAGAGATATCATTGTAGCATGTCTTGATTACAGGTATTAGTTTGGTTGATGCCATGATATGGTGTTCTGTTCATTTTTGCTAAGAATGCCACCTGCGGGTGAAATATTCTAAGGGTCAAATATGTACTTGTATCTTCATTAATGAAATAAAATATCTAAAGAATGTTTTTGCCTCTATGATCCATACAATTTTCCCCCATGTTATTAACTGGCTCACATATTGTCATAAAATTTTATTATATTTATGAGGCCCGTCTCTTTTCTTCTACCAGTAACTGTATTTGCTTGATATATGTTTGCAGGAACTTCCCCCAAGGAACCATTAGTGACATGGTGAAAGATGTGTCTCAAGGGGTCTCATTTGTCTGCAATCTCATTGCCAGATATGGAGGTGATCCTAACAGGTGACTGACTGCTTTATTTGATTTTTCATGCCTATCGTATATCCATATTATCTCAATTTACACTTTTATGTTATTTTGAATAGAATCTATTTAACGGGGCAGTCAGCGGGGGCACATATTTCTTCTTGTGTTCTTTTGGAACAAGCTATCAAAGAATCTAGAGGAGAAAACACTACATGGAGTGTTTCCCAAATCAAAGCTTATTTTGGATTATCTGGAGGGTAAATTTTTATATGTTCTTTATTACGATTCTTGCATAAGATATTTTGGATATGCAGAGAGCTGTACTTTCCAATATTTTAGGCTTTATTAGTACATTTAAGCAACAAGATTAATGATCCACAAGGATCTTTATATAAGACTATCAAGTTCACTATGATATATGAATTTTATACCTTTTATATGATGAAAATGTCCATATCCTAATAATGAAGCAACATGCTACATTTCTTCATTTCATATGTAAGGTGCATGACTGTGTCATTGAAATGGCTATAGAACATCAATGCTTCAGATAAGATCCAGCTGAAGACACATAGGATTTTGTTTTGTTGGTTGGTTCTAAGTTCAAGATTTGTACAGAAAGCTCTTCTTAATTTCCATGTGTTTTTTCACTCTAGAACTATCTTTAGGATCATAGTTTCCACCCTTTCTGATTTTCCTAGATGTTATCTTGCAAGGCAGTATCACTGCAGAGGGAATAACTCATGTAAAGAGCAGTTTGTTACGGTTTTATCCTGCTTCTCTTTAATTTTAAAAAATATTTCCCTTGCCAGTTTGCTTTTGTTATGTTATTTATGAAGACATCTACATGCTCCTGAAAGAAATTTACCTTGGTACCACACAGTAATGTTTGCCCTCTGAAAGAGAGAAACATCAATTGAAGTTAGTTGACTAGAATTTAGCTGCGATCCTTCATTTGGTTATTAATTTACAAAATTATGGTGAAAATATTTTATCTTCCAGTTTGCTGTGATCATTTTCTACTGAAGAACTAGCAACTGAATTACTATCAATCCTTTCTTTTGGCTGGTGGCAACTGACTCTAGAATGTGAAGACTTTCTTGAAACCCGAATATATACACATATGAGCTAGCCGCTTAAAGTGATAGGCCTTTCTTTATATCTTTTATGGAATATGTTAATCTTCTTCTGTCGGTTGGTAGTAGTACAAATTATGGTCTTATTCGCCAGTTCAATTGTATAAACAGATTGACAGTTGTAACCAGATACGTGCTTGTTTCCTATTAAATTGTGAATAGGTACAATTTATTCAATTTGGTTGATCATTTCCACAATCGAGGCCTTTATCGTTCAATCTTTTTAAGGTATTTTGCCTATATTATTTTTCTGGCAACCATCTATACAGGCTTGTCTTTTTCCTTTTTATTATTATCCCATGTACCATTTATTAACCAACGGAAGTTCTGTTTCAATGTTACAGCATCATGGAAGGGGAAGAATCCTTTGAACAATTTTCTCCAGAAGTTAGAATAAAAGATCCACGCAATAGAGAAGCCGGCTCTCTTCTTCCCCCTATTAAACTTTTCCATGGAACTTCAGATTTATCAATACCATCAGATGCCAGGTTAGAAATACATGTTGGTCTAAATGCCAACTGTTTAATTTCTTTGTTTACTTTTAAACTGCTATTTAATCACATTGCTATATTTTTATTCTGGAATTAATGCTTGAAATTGGAAAAAAATTCAATCTTAGTAATGATGTATGGTGATGAGGAGACATCATACTGCTGCAGTGGATTTACTGCAAATTTTCCCAGAAACTGCTATTCCTGATATTGACTTTATCTGTGCAGTATAAACTTTGTAGAAGCGCTTAAAGGGGTAGGGGCTGAGGCTGAAGTGATTTTATATGAAGGAAAATCCCATACCGATCTATTTTTACAGGTTAGTGGTTATTACTAGCTTTCTAATGTCATTTTAGGCTTAATTTACTTGTTTCGCTGCAGTCTGATCATCCGACTGTAATTTTGTGTTATATATATAACTAAATGAATACAAAAATTTCACATTTCTTATCCATTAATATGCCTTACGTGAGGTCCTTGTAATCTACATATAAACTGTGATGACAATGCTGAACATGAGGTTTAGTTAACTAGGGAAACAGTAAAGTAAATGGCAGTTATTGTAATAGTTTTAACAACTAGCATATATTGTTTGAGCCCTACTGCAATTTTTGTTTTCAGTACTGTTTTTGAAGGTTTCCCGGTTTTCCAATTCCTCGAGCAACTATATTTACGAAAAAAAGACATCGATATAAACTGTTATTCCCGCCCCTAAAGTTGAGTACTATCATGCAGGATCCTTTAAGAGGTGGAAAGGATGACCTATTTGATCATATGGTTGCTGTGATACATGCGGATGCGGGTGATGAGGAAGCTCTCGCCAAGTATGCGCTGGCACCTCCGAGAAGACGTCTTGTACCCGAGTTTTTGTTATGGTTGGCTCGTCACATCAGCCCATTCTAACCTTCTCAATGTTTGATCATTAACAGCGGATTTAAGCTAATGCCTCATGTTGTGTCCAATTATTTCTCCATTGGTATTCCTTGTGGCACCCATTGGAGGATTCCTGTTGGATATTGTAGGAGCAATATCATATCAGCCTGCCATAAGCTTTTGGTTCTATAAACTTTTGGTTCTAAACTTGGAATTAAAATTATGATTTTTTTACAATCACATATTTCGGCTCAATGAGATGATCTGATCCAGTTTTTTATTCATTGATTAAATTTTATGCCAATATTAGATTGTTGGTTTCTAGTCTTCCTTCTACACACCTGACGAAAGAGTTGCAATTTATAACATTTTTTTATTAGTCCAGGATGAATACAAGGTAGTATCTTTTGAAAAGATTTTTAATTATTGGATAATTAATTCGTACATTAAACTTAGATTGCATTTCCTTTTCGAATAAGCATTTATTGAAAAAAAAAAGACAATTTTGATGGCATTGTTTGAACGAATGAAACGCCAATGTATTAGACATTTAACATGCAAGAGAGTAGACGACAACTAAAACCTTCCAACACTCCAATGGCTGCAAATTCACCAAACGTGGGATGCTCGTGGCTTGCCGTTAACCCTATTAGCAGCAGCAGCCATATGGTTTTGGGGTCTTAGGGCCGTTTCCTCCACATCAGGGGTTCTGCCGCATACCACAGCACGCCTTTGCAGGAACCCTTTCAACATGCTCCTGCTTCTCTTTTTCTCATCTGCATCCATCCTCAATAGCTCCCCGTAGAATTTGATCCCACTCAACTTGATAAGCTGATCCAGTTGCTTAGAAATGCTTTCGATCTCGCATGGATCCAGGAGAGCATTACGGGTAGGGATCGATCCCTCCGTCTCCATGTCGATGTGGTGGTTGTTTCTCATGGCTTCCGAGTTGTAGTGTGTAGGCCCCGAAGCTCGTCGAGATCGAGTGGCATTAAATTCTCTGATCACGGTCGGCTTGCCTCCGGAACATGAACTGTGCTGGTACCATGCCCATGCAGCTGCTTTCACAAGGTCTAATTCGCTTTGCTTTGGAATGATGGGAGACTTAGAATATATGGTTTTCCTTTGGTTGAATGAATTAAAATAAAAGGGGAAGGTTGGGAGATTGCTTAGTTGTTAGAATTGAATGGGAGCACTAAATGAGAAATGAAAGTTAAGTGTAATACAGTTGCTCCCACCTCCTTGTCCATGTCCTAGGAACTGATTTTCATGGTCATGGTCATACACGCCGGTACGTTGAGATAATCTCATGGCTTATTTAACATCCAAGTTTCACATAGAGAGATGTGCCTATGTCTATTTAATGGACGAGACTTAATTTTATATTTCTTTTAGAGAAAATAACCTCAGTGACCAAAAATGCCTTATAATATACGATTTTAACCAATTTTTTTTGGATTTGCCAAAATGACCACGACAACGACCACGACCACGACCCGACCCGAGACGAGACGGCGGCGCGCGAGAGTCCCCCTTGTTCTCTATCACTCAACAAGGAAGTGGGAAAGCCAAGTCTTAAATACCATTCCCAATAGTGTTTCCAATACTATGTGAGATTGAGCATTACCAACACTTGTTCCCAATACTATGTGGGATTGAGCCTTAAATAGTGATATTATTTTTGAATGTTTTACTTAAAATTGCAATAATCACGATTGATTATAGATTGACTTTTAATTATGACATATTTAATCGTATAATACTAATGCAATTGTTTGCTGATTCAGTTGTTTTAAGGTGCATGATTGTTAATTGTTTCCTGAATAATCACATTGTATTGGAAACAAGTGTTGGTAATGCTCAATCCCACATAGTATTGGAAACACTATTGGGAATGATATTTAAGGCTTGGCTTTCCCACTTCCTTGTTGAGTGATAGAGAACAAGGGGGACTCTCGCGCGACGCCACTGCCGCCGCCCGTCTCGTCTCGGGTCGGGTCGTGGTCGTGGTCGTGGTCGTGGTCGATCGCATTGCGATTTAGTTGGTCATTTTGGCAAATCCAAAAAAAAAATGGTTAAAATCGCATATTATAAGACATTTTTTGTCAATGAGGTTATTTTCTCTTTCTTTTAAATTTACAATACTTAAAAAGGCTTAAATACATATTTTTCTCTTGAACTATATCATTTTTATCGAATTGTTATTTAAAGTATTTTTCAAAAAGTTTTATCCTCAATTAAAAATTATTAATTCGTTTACTCTAGATCATTAATACCGTTAAAAAATCTCACTGACCAATTAACACACGCCACATCGCCCTTTAAGGTTCCTTTCCTGCTAAGGATTATGAGATAATTCTGCTCCACCCAGCAATCATTTTGGCACAACCTTCCAAGCAAATTTAAACCCATCATGATGATGCAGACAAAAACCCAACCATAATATTATTGATTCAGATCTAACCAACCCAATTTCAACCATGAATCTCCAGCTAGACACATTCAAACAAAAACCAACTTGATTCAAACCACGAATGGGGAAAACCAAAATTGATGCTACACAAATTCTCCATGGAGTAATCTCCATAATCACCCTAAAATGTTCATTCAAAGCCCCAAGACAAATAAGCAAACAGATCATCTTCAACAATTGGCCTCAAGACGGAAAAAAAAGTCCTTACAAATCCATCTCTACAAACATACAGCAAAATCCTCGTTTTTCAAATCCAAATGAAGCAGAGAAACATATAACAAAAATTACAACAGAATCAATGCCTCGATGGCTAAAAACGGGTTAAATTCATCCAACATGACAGAAAACTCTGAATAAAAAAAAAGGTATGTTTCAAACCAATCCATAAATTCATTTTTTTCCCCATAGAACAACAATGAACGGTACCTCTTTGTTGTTGAAATGTTGGGATTTTGGACATGAATTTTGAGCATTGAAATGAAACTTTGGGGGAATTGAGAAGAACCCAAAAGAGGATTAATGGAGATTGAATTTGGGTCTTCGGCTTCGAGAGGAAGAGAGACCATTGCACAAGAAGCGGAGGAGACTATGAGAAAGCAAAAATGTAGGTGTTTAGGGGGGGGGGGTTACGGTGGGGGTGGGGGACGGGGACTGGAAGGCCGGAAGGGGAAGGGCATTTTTTTTTTGTATATTATAGGTTTTATTTTATTTAATAAATTTTTATTTATTCAGATAAAAATATAAATATTAAAAGGGTCACGTGACGTGTTCTAATTAAATAGTAATTTTTTTTAATAATATTAATAATTTAAGATAAATGGAGTAAAGATTTAAAGTTAATGGGATAAAATATGTTAAAATATATTTTAAGGGATAACTCGATAAAAAAATATAGTTTAGGGGAGATATGTATTTAAGGCTACTTAAAAAAGAAAATGTTATTTTACTTTGGAAGAAATGATATAAAAAATCATTATTTATAAGCATGTGTGGAATAAAATAAAGAATTGGTGCGGTATCAGAAGTAGCGTTAATTTGTAAAAGTGAATTTGTTTATACTTTGAGATATTAATTTTGTTGAAATTCAATTATAATTAAAATACGAATATAGAATTTTGAAAAGGAATATACAATATTAAATTCTTTTAAATCCTAGTGCTTGCTTTTAATTTGAACTCGACGAATTTGGACCGTGAAGTCGAGTCGGCTTCGGATGAAAAACTTCGACCTAACACAACTCGAAAGTAATAATCTAATTTCTTTAAATAAATTTATGGATAATTGTTATAATATTCATTCACTTTATTTTTTTTTTAATCAAGTCTTTATTTTATACCGGATCGGATTTATTCTTTAAAATTTTAGAGCGGGTTAGATTCGAGTGGAGGGTATATATTTTCGGATCGGATCGGATTGACCAAAAATTCGATCCAACCCGACATATTGTCATCCCTAGTTTCTCTATCCCATTGTCGATTCCTTTTTTCTCATTTTTGTTAGTGTTTATTATCTTCGCTGGTATTTCTTTTTATCTCACATCTTTATTTTTTCTTTGTTTCTAATAACTATACATTTATGACACGATTTTCTCTATTTCTATTAAACGTTTTTTTCTCTATCTTTTGGCAATTTTTTAATTTTATTTTCGATTGTTTGTCGTGTATTTTTTTCATGGTTGAATTTGGCATCACCACGAGTCCCCTATTGATCAAGATGACGCTCATTTTTTTTATCTTGTTGATCTTTCCTGCTTTGGACCCTCGAATTGGATTTAGATACACAACACGCAATCGTAGATAGTTATCTCACAATGCTTGGCTCTTATATGTGTTTTGTTAATGATCTTCCAGTAGTTTAATATCTTGTTGTGGTACATTTTCTGTAGTAGTCAAATCTCTTTGTCTCTACCTTTTGCTCGAGTTTTTCTGGATGAGATTTTTCACCTTTTTCTTGCATAGTTCTAATATAATCTTAAGTGACTATGCTCTTAATGATTTTAGGAGAATATTTAAATGTGATTAGTTATATTTTTTTTATAAACCTTTATTAGAATTTTGGATATTTTCTATTCATTAATAAAAATTAACTGTTTTTATTTTAAAAATAAGTAAAAAAAAAAAAGGAAATCATTAAGTATGTTAGCTTAAGTATTTAAACAATGACGGTCATAACTTTAAAAGTCAACAAATTTGTTACCTGCTAATTTATTAAAGTTAGTAGTCGTTTTACTTACTAGATTTATGCGGCAAACATGATTTTGATGTTCATCTAATAACTAAACCAACTATAACCTGTTTCCTTCTCAATGTGCTTTTATAAGTTTGTTGACGTCCAATTATTACTTGGTGTAGGATAAATGCAAGAAATTAACACAATGGTTACGGGGTTTAAACTGGCGAAAAGGATTCATGGGTGGACCAAGGACCTGTTGTCTCATGGAGGAAGAGAGGTATTCCTCAAATCGGTTGTCCATGCTCTCCCCACATATGCCAGTGAATGAGATCACTGGCGAAAAGGATTCATGGGTGGACGAGACCGCTGAGGGGATTCATTAAGATTAACGTTGATGGGCTTTCTTGACAAATTCGAAAGAGGCTGCCATCAGAATTGTGGCTCGGGATCACCACGATATGGTTATGGGAGGTATGGCACGCATGCTTGAAGTTCCTCAAACCTCTGAATCGACTGAAGCATTGACTTTCATTTATGGGATGCGACTAGCTATTAAAAACGAATGGAAGCGGGAGGCATTAGAATCTACTTGCAAACTGTCATAAACACATTTCGATTATTAGATTGATGCTCAACAAGGTTCATGAAGCTTTTGCAAACAACTTGGATTTTAATGTCTTTTTTCTAAAGAGAGAGGCTAATAGAGTTGCACATTCACTTCTGCATTAGATCTTGTCAAAGATCAATCCGTTTTGGTTTTATTACTAATAACCTAATTATATTAAATAATTTGTTCTCCTTTATGCAATTGAGAGCTAATGATATTTGAATTAAAAAAAAATATCCCACAATAAAGTTGAGAATTTGAAGCATAAAAAAGACGTACGAGAATCGAAGGGAGTGATGCAGCAAAATTAGATCTAACAATTCCTCTCCAATGAAATGCGAAAACTTTCTTTCCAAACTCTATAATTGGAATGGTGAGAATCTCTCTCTTTTTGCTTATTTAGCTATATGTTATTTAGAATAATGGTTAATTAGAAAAGCTCGAAGAACAAGAGGAAACCACTAGATGACTATAGAAGGTCGTTTCTCAGCCGCCTCCACCTGTTAGAAGTGCTGAAACCAGTACACATCATGTTGCACCTTTCCGGTTTTTAATATGATTGTTTTAACGGCAATAGCTGTGGGTTAATCGATTTAACAATCATCTTTCGAAAATAGACTTGAGAATATCGGTTACATGAGAGAGGCAAATTACAATAGGTTGGGTCATGTAAACTGTAACCGACATAAATCTCGGAACAAAAATCTATTTCGATGATCGACGGAATTGAAACAAAACTAGCTCGAGGCAATTTCTCTTATTGTCATTTCTCAAATTCATTTTTATTTTCTTTTGATTTACTTTTTTTTCCATTTTATTTAATTTACTTGTTTTCTTTTTATTTTACTTCATTCTCAATCACGTCTACCCCTTTTATTTTTATTTTTGTTACAACTTATTGGTCTGAAATCGACATAAATTCGCGTTAGAAATTTCAATTTTCCTGTGGATCGACCCTCTTTACTATACTACTCATTTATTTTATTTGAAGAGGATTA